CGCTGGGACCCTGGAACCCTTAGCCTATACCAGAGCTAGTTCAGCTGAATTTTGTTACCCTATACTAGAGTAAACTCCCCAAATCCCCCCATATATCGACGCTGTTGAGGCTGATTTGCGTAATTTTAAACTTGCTGATTTGATTTTTTTGCATTTTTGAGTGGCAATTCCTGGTTTCCTTAGTCGAGATAAAATCTTCAACCAACTAGTCAGTTTTGTGAAAAATGATACCCTATTCTAGACCCAAACACTCTGATTTATACACCCTATCCTAGAGTAAACTGCTTGAAAACCATACCCTTCACAGCGGCACATACCCATATAGCCCATATATGGCAGTGCGCTGAAGTACATGTATAAGCTTATATACATGTACACTGCAAGGTTGAGACCCCATTGGCCGGTTTGGGTATCCCACATCCCACTGACTTTTGGCCAAGTTATACCATATCCTGTTTATTCCAATTGCAAAAATTAACAATTTTCATACTAAGTACCCCGGGATATCTGATCTAAATATCGATAATTTTCCCCCCAACATATCCTGTATATGTCGGGCCTCATGATTAGCCAAAAATTAAATGGACAGTATAAAGATTGTCTGTTTGTTTCAAAGACTAGTGGCAGGGCAGAAGACATATTTCCATGGTCTTAACATCACCCTGCACACTTTTAAAAAACTTTTTGGTACTATTATAATGATATCAGTTATTATGATAATAAGCTGGGAACTGCCTAAGATTACTGGTGCAGCACCAGCTGCCTTGCGAAGAAAATACACAATACAAAACATTTCGTCACCTTAGATCTGCGACCAGAAAAGTAAAAGACGGACATTCTACAAACCTTGATCTAGATGATGCTGCAAGACAGACCTTCCCAGGATTAGATTTCAACCAAAACTGACTAACAAGCCGGGGAAAAGCCATGGCTTAGAACAATTTATTCAAACCCTCAAATCTGTGCACTAAGGGACATGCGCAGCACGAAATAAAAGAATCCCACAGACAACAGTGCATTCTGGGATATCCTCTTCGCTGCGGAGAAGACGCCTTGTTTTTTTCGGTCGTCAGATCGTCGAAACGACAAATTGAAATTTAGCGGCTGATTATTGAGGTGTATTGGACGCTTTTTGCTTTGCGATGATGGAGGAACTGGAGAGGTACATCGAGTTAGTCTTGCTGTGGCCATAGAATCAGCAAACTGACATTTCTTATCCGTAGCGTGCACGCACCCATTTCGTTTTGGGCTAACAAGCTTCTTGAATTGAAGTTGTTGTTGTGCAGGTTTTGCGGTCTGCTATTCGTTTACTGTAGACGTGTGTTTCTTTCTTAGAACATCAGAGGATCAATTAGGTGAAGAAGGGCTGCAAAGTCTTAAATTTGCGAAATCTTCCGGGACAGATGGAGGGCTTTCACAGCAGAGTAAACAGCGCTCTCGGGCGCGATTGCATCTAGCCGTGTCTTCATTGAAAGGGCAACCTACAGAAAATTACGTGAGTATAATATTCAAAAGGTATCCTCCGCTTGTTTTGGTGAGACTGTGAAAAGTCTTTGAAACGGTATTGTGGAATGAATCAGAATGTCCAGTAGTGAGTCTGCTCTATAAATTTATATTTTCTTGACTTAAAAACATGAATCAGTTATGCGAAATCATGCATAGAAAGGCCTCATGGGCTTTCTTTGTTTAGAGGACTTTGTGACATGCTTCTTATCGGGGTACACGTAAGGACTATTGGAGGTATTTTGGGGCGTAATTTTGGAAATTTACTCTATCCTTCTTGGTATATAAATATTAGTCTTCTGTATGTACATGTATCCACATATACATGTATCTTAGTCCTTGACCGTTAGTGTAGGTAATCACATGATTTTGAGTGCATTCTTGAGCAAATCGGAGCAACTTCAGAATACTCGGCCACTTTATTTACATGTGCCGGTGTGCTTTGAAGAACGAGGTGTATTCTTTCAGAGGCTAACAAAATTGCAAGGGCCCTAGAGTGAGTACAATTTTACTCTTTGAAAAATTTACAAGTGCTTCTGATTTACAAATAATGTTCAGCAATCTTCAGATGATCCACAAAACTCTTCTGAAATCTTCAGAGGGTGCAGGTGATCTTCAGAAGTGTTTGGAAAACATCTAATTATCTTCAGAAAACCTTGCCAAACTTTGACCGCCTTTGAAATACCTCAGATGGCCAACAGTTAAATACAGCTTTGCAGTCATGCACACTCCTCTGGTGTTACACTTTGACTGCACTGCTCTTAGGTAATCAGAATGGAGTAATTTTTCAAGGGTATCCTTATAAAATTTAATCCTGATAATTTTTAAAAGCCCATCCAAAAACTGGCTCTAAATTTGCAGCTTTCCCTGCTGTAAAGGGATCTATTTATTGCAATGACCTGCAGTTACTAAATTATAAGTTATAAATTAAATCACTCTTTATTTCATACTGTTGATTGCAGACCTCAGGGCACAGTATGAATACTGAAGCTGTCACATCTAAGAGGTGAGTTTTACACTATTTAATCATTATTTTTAATACATGTAGAACACTTTGAATTGACGTTACAGAATGTTTAAAGTGATAGAAAAAAGAAGAAGAAAGTACAAAGCTTACATGTACATGTACATTGTCTCAAATTAATCATCTTTTTAGAGGTTCCATCATGAGTTTTCATATAAATTCTGCGGCAAAAGATATTAATTTTGTGTTCTTTTTTAATTTAACTTGGACATAAATTTTATAATTCTAGATGCATCTCAGTAATGTAGAGTTTGAGTGGGACTGAATTTTATAAATCAATATTTTACCCGCTACAGGTTATCAAGGTATGGCATGCTCCTTCTGGAAAAATTTTAAGCATTATTGTTCTGATAAGTTCTGATTGGTTGTATTTGCTTCATAGCAAAGCATCACGCAAGTTCAAACCAACTAAGATGACTTCTGATGCCGTTAAAGAATTCTACAACTTTGTCTTGAGTAAGAGAAAAAGGAAAGAAAGAAAACTAAAAAGAAATTTGACAAATCTAGATGAAGCAATGGATACTGCAATGGATCAGTCCACAGACACTTCCACTGTAACAACAGTTAGCTCTGATCACAGAAATGAACTACCCAGTGCAGGAATTACTTCAGCTTCTCAGATGCCTGGGCCTGTACTGATGAACGTTGATTCCCAAGGAAACCCAATTCAGATGCCTTTGATGACACCACATGTCCTGCAGTTACCTGGTGGAGGTCAACCAGCACTTGTATTTTTTGTTGGATCACCAGGCATGCCTGCTATGGGAGAGCTACCAGGCATGACTAACGTGGGGTCCTCTGCACCTTTTGGAAATGCAGTGTTCTTTAGTACACAGCCTGTTACTCTGAATGTTGTGCCACAAGATTCTGCATCCAGTGGAGGAGTCATCGAGAAGGCCATGGAACTTGCTCAGTTTCAAACAAATCCTGTACAAAATGATAACCAGCAGCTACCTCAGAATGCAACGGAGTTGGCGGTTTCTGGGGGTGGTTTTATTCCACCCAATGCTAGTTGCAATTTGCAGTCTGGCCTATCACAAGGAACTTTGCCCGTTGATCACTCATTTAGCGCACTGCCTCAGGTTTCTCAAAATGTAGTCATAACACAGTCAGTAGCAACTGGAGAGAATGTGCCCATCGACAATGTGTCACAGTCAGTAACAGTACAGACTTCACAGATTATGCAGAATCAGGGCTTTGCTGATTTACGGTCCTTTTTGGAAGAAGCACGGGCAGGAGTTGCTGGTACGGGAAATGTCAGTGCAGAAGCAAGTCATGATGCTGCAGGACCAAAGCTGATTTATAAAAGAAAAGGTTTAACAATCAGAGAGGTAATGACTCAGACAGGGGCAGACCCAGAGATCTTCATCGTCAGTGAAAGAAAGCTGGATTGTCAGGAAGATTCCTCTGTGGAGGAACCTCTAGAAAATTCTGGTATAAACAAAACTGTTAAAAAGCCAGGTTTGTTCTACAATTATTACTGTATGTCCCATGAAGCCCTATGTTTTTTTTGCAATATTTTTTTATCATATTGATTCAGAATTAATTTTTTGTTGTGGTTTAGTGGGGTTTTTATGGTACATGTACAATTACATGTAGTGTGTCTACACAAAGCATGGTGCACACTTGGGTATTTCATCTTCCCTGTACCGCATTGTTCAGTAATGTTTTATGTGATTTACCGTAAGCCTTGTGTATCATGCTTTGTACTGTACCAAAAACTCTTTAGCTAACCTGTATTTTATGTACAAGCTACAGTACCACATTAGTATATTNATTACTGTACTAGTTCTTTTGAGACAATAACTAAAACCAGAGTAAATTGTGAAAATTGCTGGTAGGTAATTAAATCCTGTCCGCCTCAAAATTTTCCAAAAGTCACTTGGGGCATTATTCCACATACCCCTTCAACTTGCAATTTGTAACATTTAGAACAATGTCAATGTTGTTGTGAAATTGCCATTTTGTTAGTTGACAAACTGATCTTCAGTGTACAATGTATATGTACAGTGTATGACTAAATTGTTTTCATCTTGTTTTAAGTCTCTGCAAGGGTGAGACGATTTGGATGTGACAAATGTGAAAAGAAATTTTACTCAGGCAATGACCTCAGACGGCACCTAACCAGTCATCAAGAGTCCAGGCCTTTCAGCTGTGAGGTAATCAGATTGCATATGCAACTCACAATCTTACATATGTACTTATTTCTATATTCATTGCTTGTTGATGAGGAAGTGCTGGATAACTAACTAAAGTGGAAACTAATTTTTATCCTTTAATAGATCTGCAGAGAAAAGTAATAAAAATAATTCTCATGTCTTCTATTCCTTTCAGGAGTGTCAGAAAGGATTTAGAACTGCTGGTGAATTAACCATCCACAAGGCTATTCATGTAGAAGTCAAACAATACAAGTGCGAGTTCTGTGGAAAGGAGTTCAGAACCAAGGGTTGTATTAAGTCACACATCAAGTATCATATTGGTGAGAATCAGATAACTTTGATGTAATCTTCTCAAACTCATAAATAATTCATCGAGTTTAAACAAAGGAAATCATGACTGTGATGGTGTTTGGATATCTGATCTTAATTAGCATAGATTTTTATGATTTTATTTCTCTGTTTTCTCCTTAGTTTTAGTTTTGATTGAGAATATTTATCAAACACTCAAAACAGTTTTCGACCACATTTCCAAACACCTCAAAATTCATCAAAAATACCCCACTTCGTGTCGTATTGTCAACTCTCTTCTTGGTGTTTGGAAATGTGGTCAAACACGGTCTTTCATGTTTGATATATTCCATTCCTTTCATGGTTGTTTTAAGAGGTTTCATGAGTGCATGCACTGTTGTTAGCATCAATCTCTCTAGGTTACCAACTACCATTTCATTGAACTTAATGTATTGTGTTGTCTCTTTTCATCAGGAGACAAACGACACAAGTGTACAGAGTGCGACAGAGCGTTTGTCAAAAGTGCAGACCTCAAACGGCACATGGCAGGGCACAGAAATGAGAAGAAGTTCATTTGTGATGATTGTGGTTCAGCCTTCACACGTCGAGATAACTTGAAGGCACACAGACTGCTGCATACCCGGGAGTCTGTGGTTACATGTGACTTGTGTTCCAAGGAGTTTATCAATGCTGTCTACTTGAAGAGACACATGCACATCCATAAACAGGCCAAGAAAAAACCATATGAGTGAGTACATGGTAGTCGTGTTCAAAAGACCTTTGTGTACATGTACATGTATTACCTCTCAAGATGGCGGACCAAAATGACAATTTTATCGTCACGGTGAAAGAAAGCTGCAAATCTTTCTCTGTTATCCAAAAGTTTCAAATGGATAACAAGTGGTCAGAATGCAGGGAACTGATAAGAAAATTTTTTTTTTGGTAGAGTCAAACTGAAGGCGTCTAGGGCACGGACGAGTTTCCATATTGTTTTGGTCGTCCCTACAATTTTTAATTCATCACAGACAAAAGGACGACTGCAAATATGGATCCCTGGCCTCTTTATACTGGAGTAATTTAAGCACATCTACACTGTAGAGAATAAATCCCAGGCTGTCAGAAAGCTGCATGATGCATCCTAGATTCCCCAACACTTCACCAGGCACACATCAAGCATTGTTACAAGTTTGCTGTATGCAAATAACGAAAATTTAACTTGCCGACTACGTTTTCTATAAAGGAACAAAACCTGACTTAAAAGGCCTGTTCATATCCATTTCTGTTGTCAAGGCGATGGCACATCGGGTAAACTATCAAAACACCAAAGTCTGTGCTGAGAACCAAAATATCAAGGGTTTTTAAAAAATAATGATAATCTTATTGCACAATCTCTTTTTGTAATTCTGTAATAATTATATACATATTTTAAATTTTCTTATTTATTCAGATGTCAGTGGTGTCCAAAGACATATGAACAACTAGAAGGTTTGAGACGGCATATTCGACAGCACGTAGGTGATGAAAAATTTGTCTGTAAAGATTGTGGGAAGAAGTTTATAACCAGCATCCAACTTAAACGACATCTTTGGCTCTCCCATGATCAAGACAGTCCATACAGGAGATCCATTCTCTGAAGGACCATGAATATGAAGTTGGAGTGCATGAGGCACTGTCAGTGGATGGACACAATTACAATTTAATCTTCAATTACAAGTCACAGTAAAGAGTGGCTTATGACATAAATTAAAATGTTACTCATAAGTAGCGCCAAGACTCAATATGAAGTGAATAGTTACTATTTTGTGAGTGCTCATGGAATAGTGCATTAGCAAACAGGGCCAACAACAGTATGGGCAATTAGTGGACTGACAGATGACAGCTGTCAATTAGCATTCTATAATTATGTTGGTGTGTACAAAGTTATCAATAGGACAAAATAATCCTTCTTACGTCCTGCATTTATTTGTAACAGTAGGTCAGTTATTATGCTAAAGGAAGATCGTTTTGTTTGATGACTCTTTTTTTCGGTAGGTATATTATTATGATAGGTAACTCCCAAAAAGGGACATAAAGTCTACAAAAGGCAAGAGATAAGGAAATAGGATTTTTGGCAAGATTAATAGGAAGCAAGAGAAAAGGTAGTAATGGACCATCTTACTAATGTCACCAACCTTTTGCATATTTACTAAATTTGGAATGGTAAATTAATCTATGGACCAAGGGTTTTTTTTGTTTGTTTTTATGAAAAAGACACAAATTTACAGTAGACATTGCATTCATGACATCAATAAAAAGGTCCAGAGGTTATTTTTCACCCGGTTTCTTCACACCAATACATTGTAGATCTTTGTTTGAGTTACACATCAAACATTATTTTTGCATTGTGTTAAGTTTTGAAATTACTTTACATAATATATGGAAGAAGTGGTTTGTAGCTTTGTGCAATGGCATTCCCACCTGACTGGCCTGTTCTATTTTTTTTTTTTTTTTCACCTAAATAATAAGTAAAGGACTAGGTTCCATAAGGGAACTGTTTTCTTTTGGTTGCAGGAAATATGAAGTTTCAGACCAACACAATGTCGAAGTTTATTTCATTTGGTAGTTATAAAAATTAATGTTTTGTTAGCTACTGACATTTGTGTAACCAAACACCCAATTTTGTACAGACAGACGACACATCCACAGTATATAAAGGGCCATTCTGCAATAGAAAGGAATATTAATAATATTTGGTTACAGCTGGGATTCATTTTTTTAAATTACGGTTCTGCGTAGTAATACATGTACTTTTAATTAACACAAACTATTTGTTATGAAGTTAGTAAAAACAAGAATGAGCGTGAAAACTTGGTCTCAGCGCAGGTTATGTTACTACAGTTTTGCTTTGTTTCAACTTTTTCTTTTTTTGACACTTTTTGTGACCATGTTTTCAGAATGTTCTGCATTTCAGTCAATACAAAGAGTGGTGAATAAAAGTGTCGTTCAAATGTCACTCACACATTAAGTAAGTTACAATGTAAGGCACTTTCTCTGAAAGAGCTGCAGAATGATAATTGAGTTAATGTGGAGGATTTTCCTACAGACCAGCATTTCTCTACAAGCCATGCATGTACAGCATCCCCAGTAAGTGGAGGCATATTCCTTTCATTAATTCTGCATAGCAAACGTTGGCAACACAGTTGTACTGGACATTTCTTAGAACATCTCTCATCAGCTATCTAATAATACAGACATAATTATAATAGTTTTACATGTCTTGAGTGACCATAAATTTACTATGAATTCTTGGCCTCTTGAAGGAGGCTTTCAACTTCTTTTTCATAGTCTGCTTTCTTGTCCTGAATGAAAACCAGCTGAGGAAAACGAACTAAGGAGGAGTAGGCAGGAAGAAGCCTCCTAGAAATGATAAAGAATGAGAACTTGAATAAACTGTGGAAGGGTTCCCTAACAGAATTCTGTACAGATTGAACTAATAACATTATGACAAATCACAATCAATGGAAATTTATTAAGAATTCGTAAATTACCTCAGGGTCATCAATAACTTCATTCTTCAATAAATGTTCCTGACCAATTTTTCAGGAAACTTGTGTCATTGTTGGCACTATTACATTGTGGAGGACAGTCTGACTGGCGGAACTGCTTGAAATCTTTTTGGGTATCTATTCATTTTTACAAGTGTCAAGTTACCTGATATGATCTCTGTTTTCAGTCAAGAAGTTCTGCACTTTTACTTCACTGCCTTTCAATTCATCTGGAACTGTCCAAAATATGACTGCACTGTTTTTGTCTCTTGCTACTTTCACCTATAAATGAAAACAGTTAGACGGTCCTGTTAGCAAACTAGCACCTATTTTCACTGTCCAAAATTTTGATCTGTCTGTGAACAATACTCAGTATTGATGAAATGCCTCAAAAGGGATCTGTGTAAGCTGATTGGTTGGTTTCTCACCAGCTGATTGAATTTTACATTTCTAAAGATTTACATCACAATATGGAACATTTAGATCTGGTATTAGACCTCACTTTAAATATAAGAAAAACTGAGCATAGCTGAAATATTATGCCAAATCATCAACGGACAAACCCACAAAAAAAACTTCACAGAACTTGAAAGTTAACGAACCCGCGGCTTAGTCCAAAATTACAAATCACTAAATAACAGTTGGTAATCTTCACCCAAATAATTTATGCCACGTACTACCTCATCCCCTCGCCATTCTTTCCCAAGGGCAATGATTGTTCGCTAGTGTGCCAAACAATTTGGAGACCCACATCAAATATCTTCAAAATAACATTCACAAAATGCCACCTGCACNCCTCGCCATTCTTTCCCAAGGGCAATGATTGTTCGCTAGTGTGCCAAACAATTTGGAGACCCACATCAAATATCTTCAAAATAACATTCACAAAATGCCACCTGCACTGGTGAGCATGACAATTATCATGGCTAACATAATAATTATACACTGTATGTCAAAACATCGAGTACCTGTGCAACGTCCACTTGATAATCCCCGATAACAGGGCTTAGAATAGGGTTTAGCTCAGGACCGTTAAGAACATCTTGAACCACCCCAAGCAATGTGTCTGATACAGCATGTTGTTTTATGGTGTCTGGGATATCAGGAACATCCTCTCCTGTCAAGGGATCTAACTGAAAAACTTCTGATTGCTTCCAAGACGGCTGCAAGTGATAACGAAAATAGAACAAAGAGATGATCAGAGGCATGAGGTCTATGCCGTCAGCTCTTCAAGATAATATAGGAGTTTCCCTCCACACTGCATGGCACAAAATTGATGTACAGTGTATATTTTGAGCCACTCAAAGCAATAAATATAATTTGCAGTTTTGTTTTCATCAATGAAAATGGCATTTTGGGGGGTTTTGGCCATGGATGGTTTATTGGCATAAAAATAAAGTAAATGTAATGAGGACAGTGCTAGTAATTGGCAATCAACATGAAGATGTGCAAGACACACAAACTGGTACCGTCAGGGTGCCAGAAGCTTTTCATGCATGGTAAACAAAAAAACCCTGGTACCCAGGGAACAATGGCAGTCTACTCAAATTTCCTAACATGCTAATCAAGTAAGGTGGCTTTAAAATATTATATAGTCTTAAACAGCATAAAAATCGAGTGCATTTTACAGTTATATGAATATTTAAATTACTTAAATAGATATATTACCTTCCTCAGTGCGCCTGGATTTTTCCTGAAAATGTAAAATAAAAGATTAATACGGATATTTCACAATATAATTTACTGCACCCTTCAATAACACGCTGCAGTCTACATGTATCATCCACAGTAGGCAGACCTCGCAGGAAACAAAATTTTACTCCAACTGGTTCAAGGGGTAATGTCTATAGGCTTCCATAATTACAGTGTAGGTTGTGATCCCGTCGTAATAATTATGATTGATGGCAGCCAAAACCAGTCCCAGTCGCTTACTTTGATTTCCTCTTTCTTGCTCCGATGGAAAACTTGTCTTTGTACTTTGGTATGGATAGCGAAGAAAATATCCTTTGAGGAATAACATGGACGTCGAAGTTCTTCAATACAGTTGTAGGGAAGGAGTTAATGGCAACACTAACTAACAGCCTGGATCGCAGCAACAAGCTCATTCCTTCAAAAGTTGGGTCAGTATGTCGTGTAAGCTTCTCTGTAATATCCCAAATGTATGGGTTGCGTTACGCTGTGTAGCCGCGCCTGGAGGTATTGCGACCAGGCATTTGTATTTCAAAATGGCGGACAAGGTGCACGACTTTCCCGAGAAAAAAAGAGCTAAGTTTGAGCTGCGGAAATACGATAAAGTGCCAATATGGATATGCGAAAATCACGATGAAGTCCTTTACTATATCCATAGAGCTATTGGATCAAGGTATATCGCATTCGAAGGATTAACACTTCTTCATTTTGATTCACATCCCGACCTTACTGTTCCTGTGAAGATGAAGGCAAACACCGTATTTGAGCAAGAAACTTTGTATGAGGAGATTAGTATTGCAGACTGGATTCTACCCGCAGTCTATGCTGGACATGTTAATAAAGTTATATGGGTCAAGCCACCTTGGTCGGATCAAATTAAGGACGGTGTATTCAACTTCAAGGTTGGCAAACACAAGGAAACTGGTTTTGTTAGGTACGTATTGAATTAAGCGCGAATACGAGATGTATCTGCTGTAGTCACTATTTAGGTTGAAACACTCTGGTTAAAAATAGAGTGAGAAATAACCACA